CTGTTAAAATAAAGAACAAAACAAGTGTACGGTATCATTAGTATTAATGATAGCAGTAATTTGACCGTGAGTAGATCCAAGGAGCTTTGAACGCACCATCAATAGTACGGCCCCCTTCGTAAACTCAAAGATGATTAAACAAATATGAGATGATACTCCCACCCTAATGAGCGTGTCGTGTGTTTCACAACGAAAAAAAGCCTTGTCAGCTGATCATGTAGCAGTTTCACAACCTGATGAAGCTTTTACTGTCAACGAGAGAAAGTAACAACAAGTGTTCGTGTGAAATAAACCAGAGAGCCTCAGGAAATGAGCGTGTTTGTGTCGTGTTTTGTCTCTTCGTGCTGTGCCCAGCCTCTTTATTTCAACATCTAACTGTAAAAGGCCCAAATTTATCTGAACGGAGGAGGAAGTGAGTGGAGGTGAATCATCTCAGGTCACGTGTTACTCTCTGAGAAGACGTAATGGTGGGCGGGCGTCACGAGGGCACGTAGCAGCACGTTTCTGCAACGTGCAGAGACCCAGACTATATCAAATATTATTGATATATAAATACCTAACAGAACTATTTATCAACTCTGATGACATCCAATCCACATTTATAAAAACATGTAAACGTTTATATAATAATAAAAATTTAGACCTCACTTTACTGAACAAATTAAAAGTGATTCACAAGACAACAAAACAACAACAAATAAAAATGTTTTAATTGAATTTGTTTGATTTTATTATTTTTGATTTTTGAGGTCTCTCTTCAAATTTTATTCATAATTTTATTCACTTCATGCTTTTTCCACCTCTACAACTGTAAATAGAGTCGTTGTCAACCAAATGCTGCATAAAAATTATGACAGCTCTCTCTCCGTCAGTGATAGTGCTGTTGGTGTTGAATTGCTCATAAAGACAAATGATGACACATTTCCAGAACAGATGTTGTGTTTGTTGAGTCAAGTAAGCAGAAGGTGAACAACAGTCATAACATAGGAGCAGATCATAAAGACGTTATATATGACCAATACAAAGTTGATATCATGAACCCAGAGACAGTGAATCACGGTCATATATTGGAAAAAGAATACAATGGGTGCGGTCACAAAAAATACAAAAATTGCATTTCATATTCTCTTCAGTCTATAAATTAACATATTCACCTAACATTAAAGAGCTGTTTAATTCAATACAACAACAATTTAATAAACTTCATAGAAACAAAACTTACATACAGTGCAGCTGTTGCTTCTTTTGCTAGTTAGTTCCAATGAGGTGTTAGAACCAGTAGGTGGTGCTCTACTTAAAGGGATCAACACAGAACAAACAAATGACAATGCAGGGTAGTAAATCAGATGACTTGTCAAGATCAAGCATATTTAGGACAATATTTTTGCTTCTTCTGCTACTTTCAAAAGATCAACAATAAAGTAAAGAAAAAACTTACCTCAACAATGAAGAGAAAAGCAGAAAGCTGTTTCTTCTCAGCCCTCCACAAAGATCTCTGTAATGAGGTCATCGATCGTGATCCCTTTCTGCAATCTCTACATCACAATGTGCAGAGTTTTATCTTTAGTTCCTTTTCTGTTACAAAGTTAAATACATATTTAATCTGCCACGAAGCATGACAGCAGTATGACCCAACTGGTTCAAGAGGCTATGCCTCTGCTAATGCTGACATCATGTGCATAACGTTTATTAATGCGGTTGGCTGTTCATGGCTAATTCCACTGTTTTCACTGTTTGTTTACTCACATAACCGAAACTCATCCCCTATGGGGAGGAGCAACATTTCTCTACATAATGCAGGTTGCGGAGCTTAACTCTAAATCACTCTGTGCCTGTTACAGGAATCAGTCATGGGACTGCTGCTCCCTCTCCTTCTTTGTTTACTCTCCTGTCTGATTGGAGGACTGTACTTACTTGGTGTGTTTCGACAGCACCGACCAGGAGAACCCCCTTTGGATAAGGGGCTCATCCCTTGGCTGGGTCATGTCTTGGAGTTTCGCAGGAACACTTTCAAATTCATTGAGAGGATGAAGCAAAAACATGGCGATGTGTTCACAGTGCAGCTGGGAGGGTTTTATATCACATTCCTTCAAGATCCTCTGTCGTTTGGGGCATTTGTTAAGGAGAGTCGCGAAAAACTGGACTTCAGGCTGTTTGCTAAACATCTGGTGCACAGAGTGTTTGGTTATGTGGCAGAGGAGGATGACCACAGTATTCTCCAGGTCACCAGCAACAAGCACCTCAAGGGGGACGGTCTGAAGGTATTGACACAAGCTATGATGAATAATTTACAGAATCTGATGCTGCATGAAGTCGGCTCAGCAGCTGACCAAGGCAGCTGGAAAGAAGATGGACTGTTTATGTACAGCTACAATATCCTTTTCAGAGCCGGCTACTTATCCCTGTATGGCAATGCACCTCCCAAGTCAGAAGAAAGTGAGGAGAAAGCCAAAGAGAAAGACAGAACTGAATCTGAAGCCTTGTTTAAAGAGTTTCGTAAATATGACCAACTCTTCCCCAACCTGGCTTACGGGGTCCTTTCACCGAGGCAAAGGTTGGAAGCAAAGAGGCTGACGGAACTATTCTGGAACACTCTGTCGGTGCAGAAGATAAAGATGAAGGACGACATCAGCGGCTGGATCTGGGACATGCAGCAGTTTCGAGAGGAGAGGGGTATGAAGGAGTCAATGATCAGCAYGTACATGTTTGTGCTTCTCTGGGCCTCTCAGGGCAACACAGGTCCTTCTGCATTCTGGCTGCTCCTCTACCTCATGAAACACCCAGAAGCCATGAGGGCAGTGAAGGAAGAGCTAGATCAGGTTCTGAAGGAATCAGGGCAGGAAGCCAGACGTGATGGCCCTTCGATCAKCCTGACCTATGAAATGCTGAAGAAAACACCCGTCCTGGACAGTGCTTTGGAAGAGACCCTCCGACTCTCTGCTGCACCTGTCCTCACCAGAGCTGTGCTCCAGGATATGACCCTCAAGATGGCAGATGGGCGTGAATATTTCATACGCAAAGGTGACAGAATGGCTATGTTTCCTTATGGTGCTGTTCACACTGACCCAGAGATCCACCCTGACCCACTTTCATTCAAATATGACCGCTTTCTGAATCCTGACGGGAGCAAGAAAACAGACTTRRACAAGAATGGGAAGAAGGTGAAGTTTTACACCATGCCCTGGGGTGCTGGGGTCTCCATGTGTCCCGGGCGTTTCTTTGCCTCTAATGAGGTGAAGCAGTTTGTTTTCCTGGTGTTGGTCTACTTTGAGATTGAGCTGAAGAATCCTGAGGAGAAAATACCTGAATTTGACTTCAGCCGATGGGGCTTTGGGTCCATGCAGCCTAACAGAGAGGTCCAGTTTCGATACCGACTCAGATTTTAAACCAGCTAATCATTTTGACATCTCTGTCAAAACATTTTTTGATTTTGATCAACTCTTGAAGCTTTCTTTGAAACTGAAAAGTTTCTGATGAATGTCAGATTCCACAATAACGTTTGTACTAGTGATAATCAAATTTATGTAACGTGTTTTCTGCATGTTTACATAATTTAAATAATAGCTCATCTAAATGACAGTTTATATGACACATTTTCTGCTTCCTTAGCCAGGTTTAGTCAGATACATAAAATAAGCTGCTGTGTGTGTTATCTTTAGTAGCATCTAGAATCATTAAGCATGTGCTCGTTGAGTTTCAGTGACCAGGTTTCAAAGAAATGGTTGGACGATAAAGGTTAGGTTTTATTTGGGAAAGTCTTCTGTCCAAAAACAGCACCCATAATGCCAATTACATGTGTGCTGATTTCCAAACATGATGCATATTTTTCGCAACTGCACTTCTTGCTTTTAAGTTTATAATGCTAGGGACTGTTGATTTAATGAGAGAGGTGTAGAAACAAAATACATTCTCTTTACATTTTTTTTTGTGTGATCATGTCTGATAATTAAAATCACTTTGTAAACAGCTCAGCTAACTATTAGCCATAGAAAATTACATTGTTGAATTGCTGTGTTAATGTCTTACAGTGTTTTGCTTTGATCCCCAATAAAAAAAACATTCAGACTAAAAAACTAAAAAAGGTTTGTCTGATGCTGCTCATTTCTCCATCATGCTATCATCGCTATTAGCTTTTATTCTGAGTTCATCGCCACAAAAAACTTTTAAAGTTATTTCACACACACACCACTGTTCTTCACTCAACTCATGAGTCACAAATTTAAACATTAATCAAATATGAACCTTTAATTTCAATTGATTAATCCGTCAGTGATAGTGCTGTTGGTGTTTAATTGCTCATAAAGACAAATGATGACACTTTCCAGGACAGATGTTGTGTTTGTTGAGTCAAGTAAGCAGAAGGTGAACAACAGTCACAACATAGAGCAGACTTTATTTATGACCAATACAAAGTTAATATCATGAACCGAGAGACAGTGAATCACGGTCACATATTGAAAAAAGAATACAATGGGTGCGGCCATAAAATTTGGTAGAGTCAGAATGTTTCATATTTATGTTCTGAGTAAGAATCATTCAATCCACAACATACAAAAAGTACAAAAATTGCATTTCATATTCTCTTCAGTCTATAAATTAACATATTCACCTAACATTAAAGAGCTGTTTAATTCAATACAACAACAATTTAATAAACTTCATAGAAACAAAACTTACATACAGTGCAGCTGTTGCTTCTTCCTTTCTGCAATCTCTACATCACAATGTGCAGAGTTTTATCTTTAGTTCCTTTTCTGTTACAAAGTTAAATACATATTTAATCTGCCACGAAGCATGACAGCAGTATGACCCAACTGGTTTTGCCAAAAGGTCTAGATTTTATCAAAGCCTTTCTTTGCCTTGAACTTTATCTGTTGCCTTAAAACCTAGAAGTACAGTTAAATGAATTTGTGTTTGAAGACATTTGTATTTTTCCCCACTTCTCCACATAATAATGCACAAATTTGAAAAATAAAATTACATTTTATGAAGCCAGAGTTGAAGGTTTTCATGACATGGGACTAAAATGTAATGGTTACAGGACCGACTATGACACACCACAGTATCTGAGCATGTTTTCAGGTGTAACAATGAGCATTGTCAATAAATTTCCTCTGAGGTTTACTCAGATACAATCAAATTAGTTGTTGCCATATTCACACAACCCAGACAGTTGTCAGGGTTGTACAGTGAGATTATTGTATAGCTTTCCATAAAGGTTTGGTGTGTTCCATTTCATTTCACTCCATCCCAGTATTTGGATTACACTATCCATAAATTATACCACCATATTCCCCCTGATTGAAAGTTCCATATTAAATCTGATTAACATGTCTTTGTTAACCGGCTATGTACCACAAGCTTTTAAGGTAGCCGTTATTAAACCTCTGCTTAAAAAGCCTACGCTTGATCCAGAGGTTTTAGCTAACTATAGACCCATATCCAACCTGCCCTTCATTTCCAAAATCCTAGAAAAAGCCGTTGCTAACCAGCTGTGTGGTTACTTAGATAGTAACGGTTTATTGGAAAAATTTCAGTCAGGATTTAGAACCTATCACAGCACAGAAACAGCACTATTGAAAGTCACTAAT